TATTATTATTTATTTTGGTTAGGATTTATTTTTTTCTCTAAGAGATGTCTCCCGAGCTCGACACATCCATGACATTCTGGATGGTCAACGAAGAGCCAAAAGCCCATTTCCTCCACCCTTGGCGTGATCATGGAAAGGCTTGGGTTGGAAGGGACCTTAAAGTTCAGCTGGGTGGCTCCCAGAGCATCCCCCTCCACTCTCTGGTATCAAGGGATCCCGGTGGGACCATTTTGGGTCTCCCAGCCGCAGTTCGGGGGTGCCGGGGCAGGGGCACGGATGCTCCAGGGCTGTTTGAGGAGATAATCACGCACCAGACAGAGGTTTGGATGCATTTTCGTTCCTTCTTCCCTGATGCCCCTGCAACCTCCAGAAATAGAGCTCCTTCACGCCTTCTTTCATAACGAACTCGTCTTAAGATGAATAAAAAAATTAATATTAATAAAAAAGAAAAATAAATCGTTGGTTTAATCCCTCACGGTGTCTCGTATCACTGATTTCCCCGAGCTGTGAAGAGGCGAAACGGCGGCCGGGGGCAGCGGGGACGGCCTGATCTTTGCAATTTCTCCCGTTAAATCCCAGCCCGTCAAGACGCTGCTAAACCCGGGGCGAAGCCGTGCCCCGCTCGGCGTTCGCGACCTATCTGTGCACTCACATGAAATAATTCCCACGCAAAGCCAAGGATGCGCCACGCTCAGCCGCCCTCCTCCTCCGCTGCCATTAAAAAACCCCATTTTTGGGGTGCCGGCTGTAGAAACAGCTCGTTCATCCCCATGCCGAGAGCAGCGGCTGAGAGACCCCTTAGGGGTACTGCCCTCACCGCGGATATTTTAGTTTTATTCTGGTTTTTTGAACCCTTCAGTCTTTTTGCACCCAATTTCCTTTTGAATTGTGGCTGGGGAAAAAATAAGAAGGTTTTTAAGAAGGTGATTTAAGGATTTTTTTTTCCTAGGATTTGGGGGTTTTTTCCCCCATCTCTGCTCAGTACCGCATCCCACCTGCAACCGCAGCCTGGGAGCTCCCTTCCTACGCCCTCGACAACGATATTAGGAAATAATTTAGCGGTGGCTTTTCCTTCTATCTGTGGTAAAAAAATGGGGGTGTTTTGCCTTCCAAAACATCAAAGGAAAAGAAATTCCTCCTTTCCCTCACCTTTCAAAGAACATACATTCATATACATATACATATACATATACATATACATATACATATA